AGGTTGTGAGTTTGATTCTCGGTACTGGAAAAAAAAAAAAAAAACAGAAAAAAAAAATGGAGCAAAGTATATATCCAGTTGGCAGTTTAATGCTCAGACAGTGCACTAATCTACACATATTGCATTAAGCAGCCCATCAATGCGAGATAATTATCAAGAAAAAGAACATTCTAGAATACATAAGCCACTGCAGTTAGGAATAGTGATAATAGATTCTTTTCTGGAAAGTAGGCAGTGTGGGTATTATCATAATTTCATATTGTCTCTCCCTTAATTGAAATATATGCAATATTAATGCTACCTGTGTTGAGTTACTATTTAAGATATTTTTGCCTGAGGGTGATTGTGCTTGATTGTAATCCCAACTACTCAGAGACTGGTAAAGCAGGATTGTAAATTCCAGGCCAGTCTAGGCAACTTCAGAAGACCTTGCCTCAAAACAAAATTATAAAGCATTGGAGATACAGCTCTGTGACAGAGAGTTTCTCAGTTCAATGCCTTGTATTGGAAAAGAATTCAGAACACTCATTATATTTTGGTATCACATCAAAGGTTATTTACATAGTGAAATTCAAGGAAAGAAAAGAGCAGGGTGTGCAAACCAGATGTTTGTATTTGGAAAATCTTCCAGTATAGAATTAAGCTTTAAAAGTGTAGAAACCAAATGCTTTATGACACCTAAAGGGGAAAAATCTACCTAGATGCAGATGAAAATACATCATGGAGATAAGTGCAGAAGGACTGACTATCACAAGTCAGGCAACTAAGACAAAAGAAATTTCAGTATGAGGTCGATAATACTCATTAATGGGAGAGAGAAAATAAAACCATGAGGTTTTATGCTGTTTGTTTTAACACATATGTTTTGTTTGCTTCATTTTTCTGTTTCAGAAGCACACAAAATAATTTTTTAAAATCAAGGACACTTTAATTTCCGTGAAAGAAGACCATGTACTCCAGTAAAAAGTGAGACACAGATGACATAGGGAAGCAAAGAGTTACTACTATTATAATGTGCACATTTGACTCATTCATTACTAGATTTTTCATTCTTTCATTCTTTACTAGTAACTCTACAGATAAATAAGCTGCTTACTGCTTCATAACCAATTTGTCTCAAAACTAATGTACTTATTTGACTTTGCAGAAATAATATTGATTTTGAGGAAAATATGGGTAGGTGTGTACACTGTAAATTCATTTCAAGGATATAGTCCTAAAAGCTTTCAAAGAAGTAACATCTGTTAATAATAATATAAGACAGGTGTTTATTTCTCTCTGAGACAAAACAATTAAATCAATATATATTTATATGTTGTACAGTATTTATATATATTATTTATATTTATTTATTATGTATTTATATGTGTTTTTTGAGTGAAAGGAATCATCCTGTTTTTACAAAACATGTTCTAAAACAAACTTAGAATTTTAGAAGTGAAAGTGAAGTAAATAAGCTTTGAGTTACATCAAAGTCTACATTTTGTGGTCTGTATTTTAATAGTCTCATTCAAAAGACTCTGAAACTGAAATGGGGGGGCAGAAAATTATATATATATATATTTATGTATATATACATATATATACACACACACACATATATATATATTTATCCAATACCTTAGAGTTTAGTGTTAAGTCCTTTCACTCAAAATTCATTGTTCCACATTATATTAAATATGTGAACAGTATGATTAATGTAGTAGATGCAGTTGTCACTTGCTAGAGTAGGTCCTTGCTTCAGTGATAATGGAAATTAAAACTGAGGCAAGAATTTGTAGGAGAAAAGGTTTTAGTTGGGAATTAAAAGAAAATGGTAAGCAACCTCAGTTAGAAGAGCTGACAAAGATCAAAGCAGTTTTTTAACAAAGGAAAATAAAAGACAGGGAAAGGTCTACCAGCCTTGGAGGGGGCACCAATTTTACGGGAGCTGTGATCTGCTTGGTGAACGTTTCAGTCCTGATTTTGTAGCTCTGGAAGAATCTTTATAGCTTGTGGGGCAGTTGGGTTCCCACAAGATGACTGTTTTCTCTGGCGTGGGTGTTCCCATCATGACGTGGCTTGCGAGGCTGGTGATCAGATGATCACATGTCCAGGGCAATGGCTGGAGATGCTCAGAGAGCCTGGAACAGGACACTGAAAGCTGACAAGTAGCTGCCGCTGAAAAACCCAAAACTTACTGCAGCTCCTCTCATCTCGGTGTCCTCAGTCTTGAGGAGCTATGAGAGAGGTTAAGGAAACCTTGTAACATAGATATCCGCTATGTGGTTAGCATGTCCACTTGCAGAGCCCAGCAACGATCAATCTCAAAATTTTTAGGTAATAACGAAGATATATAAGATGAAAACGAAAATGTGAAGCTTTATCCAGTCTTCAGTTACACACTAGACATTTGCAGGTCTAGGTTCTAGATCTGTGTTATACAGTAATGACCCTCCTAATTCTTATTCCCTCTGGCTCAATCACACGCACTTTTAGAATTCAAGTGTTCACTTTTCCACCTGCTCAAGATGTAACTCTCCGATACATTCCTCTCTAGGAATTTCCCCCTGAAGACAATAAATTCAGGTGGGCAACTAATCCAAGCTTATCACTCTTCCCAGAGTTTTCCAACTTGCTCTAACAGGTAAATGGTTAAGGCCACAACCATTTACCAGAGTTGGGGACAACTAGCAGTGCCATCTCACCATGAAGACTCCCTGGGTGGTGAACAGAACAAGTTACTGCTTAAAATGTGATGGCTCCTTTTGTCTGGTTTTCCTTTCTTAATTTCTCCATCATAAACTTAAAAATATGTCACAAAATCTGTGTTCTGGGGAAGCAAACAATAATAATGAATATTAAATTACTAACATATTCTACAGAAATTACTTTTTAAAGTCAAGATAGAAGTGTATATGGGATTTAAGTCTATGGGATTTAATAAAAACCTATCAAAGCAATTTCATGGCCTACTGGTCACTTTATTTTTGTGTGATTATTATAACTGTTGTCTTAAAGATAACTTTGTTTGAGATGTGATATTAGACATTTGACATGAAATATTTCCTTGACTATGCACAGTAAACCTGTTGGAAGGTAAAGGCCTGAACAAATATCTTCCTTTCACAGATGAGGAAATAGGAGAATTAGAAAAGTTAATTAACTGACAATTGTCCCTCAGAAAATGTCCAATTTGGTTGATTCTCCCATTAAATTTTACACTGCCTGAAGGGAGGATACAGGTCTTTTGTAAACAGAACTATTTCCTATCACCTATGCAGCACCTTGCCCTCAGTAGCAATCAATATTCATCAAATGAATCCATAAATGTCCAATCTCACACCCATGCCATTAATCCCTGTACTATGTGATCTTCCATGTGCAAGGTAAATCCTGGACTGAACAGGGAATGTAACCACAACTTTAAAAAGCAAACTGTGTTGAAGAAATGTGAATGATGGTTTTAAATGTGTATTTTTTATATTGAGTGTGATGCTCGTCATTTCTTTCTTTCTGCAGTAGATCCACATGTACCTCTCTAGTAACGTATAAAGAAGAAAATCTGGGGCTGTATATGAGATTGCATTATTTGAACTCTTTCAAAATGCCTTTATTAAAATGGTATTTTCCATGTAATCTAATATCCCAGGAGGGTTAAAAAATCATATAAAGAAAACAATGAAGTCTTCCCAAAATGTTATATTAAAGTAATGAAAATGATATCTCCATCTTCCTTCTGTATTCTCCTATGCAGTATCTGTAGAAACAAAAGTGAAAAACACCACCATATAAAATCAAAAATAGTAAGACATGATGGATATGTTAAATAGCTGGATTTAATCATTGAAAACCATACATACATATATATATATATATATATATCAAAAGATTGCATTGTACCACCAAAAGTGTATACAGTAATTTCTCAATCATAAACATTGTTAATTTAAAAAGAAGCATTACTGCTGTTTTGATCCTTATTGATTTACTAATGTCTCCATTGTTTGAATTTTTTTTCTCACACTATTTAAAAGTAGCACCCACAATATGTCTAACATTTGGCCTTGGGTATTAATCATAGAATTGCCTGGGGGTCCATTAATAACACCCTTTAGACTTCAAGTTAGAGAAACCTTTCACTAGCTCCTTTAGCTCGAGTTGTAACAGCCTCCTGCCACCTAGACGGCTCTTTTCTCCCTTACCTTTTCATCACTTCTGATTTTTGCAGCCACTACTTTTCTCACTAGAGCAATAATCCGGTTTCTACCTAAATGTGTTTTACTAAACCAAGACAGTACTGTGTTCAGGAGGAATTTGTGTGCAAGCCTGGAATCTTCCCCTTCTTTCTCATCAGGATAAATCATGAGCTTTGTCTTGTTTCTGTCTCTAGGGTATAGGCTTCTTGTGAGCAGGAAGATGGTAGATACTCACAAAATTAACTGTGGTAAATAAAATCTAAATGAATCATGTGTTGAAATTTCCTTTTATCTTTAGCTTTGAGATTTCAGAAAGTAATGTCAGATAGCATCTGTTCACTCTTACAATGGTTCCTGTTCTCCTTAGGCCACTGGAGCAACTGATGATTTTAATTATTTAAATTTCTAAGTTACCACTCTGGTAATGCAAATCATATCAGCAATTCTGCTAATTTTCTGGGTTTATACATAACAGAACATAACATACTAAACCAACAAAAAATAATCACCTCATATAATAGCATTTACTATGTATTAAAATAATCTATATTTTCAGATAAAGCCATAGAATTTAAACTGAGGAAATTAGATGAACTACCTCAAAATGTCTGCTAGGGTAAATTGACCATTTATCCATTACATGTATTACCATTTTTCTAGGAAATTCAATCTCAAGAAGAATTCCATGTTTTTCAAAATCTCATTGGAAAGTTGTGGGTTTTCACACAAAGGTATAAATACCACTCTGCAGTGTGCATATGATATGAATGTGTTTTCAAAGATGTTTTCAAGACCTCTTTTCTTTTCTGTGTCTTACTCTAGGCTACATACCGAAATCGAATTGTGAGCCAAAATCTCAGCACAAGGGACAGAAAAGCAATGCTTACTCCCACCGAGGACCGTTTTAGATACTCAGCAGCTGACCAAGCAAGCCCCTACAAAAACAAGACCTGTCAACTGTCGAGTCTATGTTTAAGTAGCTTCTTAAAGGACAAAGAACTAGCAGAAGCTATCGAACACTCAAGAGGAACATACGAAACCTTCTCTTCAGAGGTTACGCAGAATGTACCGACCACTATTGGGCAGAAGCCAATGGCCAAGATAGAAGGGCTCTCCACATCCTTTGAGAAACCAAAGGAGCAAGCTGCTGCATCCCGACAGCATTCAGCCTTCACAGGCAGGTTTGGGCAGCCTCCCAGAGGGCCAATCTCTTTACACATGTACAGCAGAAAGAATGTTTTCCTCCACCACAATTTACATTCTACTGAATTACAGACTCTGGGCCAGCAAGATGGATAATGAAATCATCCTAGTCTCGTCTCTAGATAGTATAAAGATGGTTTGTGTTTCTTGTGCATAGTTCATATTAAAACTGTCATGTACTTTTTTATTATTTTTAATTTGAGTTATAAACAAAGACTTGTGGTCTTTTGTTATTATTATTATTTTAAGAATGAAGGTTCAAGCATGTTAATTGAATTAAGTTGAATTGCCTTGAAGACTTGACTGTATCTGTGTATAATAAATGGGACCAGCTTGATGGTTTATATAGTTGATAATCTAGAGGTAATCTTTTATCTCTATCACTGATACACATTGAGATTTCAAAAAGTAATGTCAGACAGCACTCTGTTCACTGTCGGCAGTGTTACTGTAAAGATAGATATAGAGAGGAAATAGATAAAGGAATGGTAAAGAATTTTCAATGACATAGTTAATAGAGGAATTTCAAAGTGTTATATTTGGTGGTGTATTTATTAGAGGAATGAAGCTTGTTTGCATGTAACCTAGAGATGTTTCTGTCTCTCTCTTACATACATTCAAGCTTGTGATACTATGAAAAGGGGAAAGACTGTTTCTTTTATCCTTAAATGTTTCATTTATACTAGTTCTCAAAGGATTTCAGACAGAGTAATTGCTAGCCAAATAGGGAATGACAGCTCTGATCTTTCAAACAATTTTGCCTTTAGTTTCTGCTATTGATATGGGAGTACCGCAGCATAACACAGTGAGGTGGTGAAGGGGGCTGGATTCTGTTACATGACTCATGAAGCATGGTGTGCTGTGCTCTGTGAGTTCCCATCATAGGAATATCAGCATTTTTGAAATGCCAGAGATTCAATATCTGAGAAAAATATTCTTTTACTTCATTATTCCTATATTTTTAATGTGTATCCACTTTTGGTTTTCATACATCAACCCATAGAACTTGATTAACTGAGGAACAGAACGTCAGTTTTTGGTATCCTATAAAAATATACTCTTGACTATGCAGTCATTTAGACTTAGAAAAAAAAAAAGTAAAATAATACATGAACTTTGCCTGTGTGACCTTAGAAATAAACCTCTACTGAAATGTTTAAAATTCAGTGATGGCAAATACTTTGACAAATAAGGTCTAAATACATTATATACTTAAGTGCTCATGAGGTAAATCAGTAAATCTAAATAAAACAATCTGTGATTAGTAAAACAGTATCAAATGGTAGACATAAATAAATAATTGTAGAATTGGGAATCAGGTCTGCACTTTTCTTACACCAAGATCAGAGCTGGTAACCATAGCCACACTACACATAGTCATGCAAATTGAAACTGTCATACGCAGTGCATGATCCGTTTCCCTTGCATTCCGACAGACTCTGTCAGCTTGCGCAAGTGATATGAATGAAGAGAAATTAAGACAGCAGTTTTAGCATGGCATTTGACTAACCTGCTTAAATCACAGCTGAATGTGAAATGCATCTCCCAATATAAAAATAGATGTGAGCGCTACACTTCAGGGAGAAGCATTAGATCTGCTCCCCAGTTGTAATCATTGAACTTTGATCAACTTTCAAACTTTGTTTAGAACTGATAGTAAGAAGGATAGGGAATGTGTTTTAATTTTGCTTTTCCAAAAGAAGAACGTGCATCAAGACAAATACTCATCAAATGTTTTCTTTCTCTTGTGTGTTTATAATTCTGCCAAAGAGAAGAAAACACCCTATAATTAGCTTGATTTAATGAGACTACTGTTGAAAATTTTCATCATACTTAAAAAGTTGTAATATTCAGGCAAATATACATTATGGACTGGGTAAGATTTAAGGAATTATAGACAAATTATGATTATTTACTTGTGAAATTCAGCTTGATTTGTACCAAAAATTGGTGTGTGTTGCTAGAATATTTTAAATATATAAATAAGTAAGCATGATAAAATAATCAAGGATTTTTTCCCAGGATATGGAAGAGCTATGTATCACAAATAATGTTTTTGATTTGGAATTTTGGAGTTTATAGTTTCATTTTGCTGGAAGATAGACTTTTGAATTATACTTTGTAAAAAATAGTCTATTTAAGAAAACCTGTCATTTAATAGACCTTTTAAGAGATGTTTTAAACACTAGTATTTTCTTGAAAAATCTTTTTTAAAACTGGAACATTCAAAATGAAAACCTGGATTAAACAGTTCAATTTTAAAAGGAGGGATATTTTTTGGAAATATCATCTTGAAGCTGTTTTGTATCAGTATTTTCAGCATTGTTATAATATTATTTGTAATACTCAGTGTAACTAAGGCCTGGAGAAAGTATAAGCCCACTGTGTTCATACAGATCAGTAATGTAATACGGAGGTCTTTTGTAAGTTCCTCTTGTGTAGATACCCTAAATCATAACAATAGTGAGTGGGCATTGTTTCAGTAAATCAATTTCTTTGTACTAAAATCTCTAGTTTTCTAAGGAAGTTCCTTGTATAGAAATGATTTATACATTTCTCCAAGGCCGTACATATCCAAAGACATGACACCAGGGGGAAAAAGTGCTTGTTTTTCTGATAAAGCAGTTGTCTTTTCTTTTCTGATCTCTTTCTTCAGTGCATGTGTGTGTAGCTAAGCCCAAGCAACCCTGTGAAATTTCTGCTGCAGACTGTCTCTTCTGAATCGAGAATGTGTTTTAAAGGACACTTAAGAAAAGACATTCTTTGAAGGAAAGCTGTTTCTACCTGAAATAAATCATTCCCACTTTTGTAATTATTGGCACATGAAATGTATTTCTATGAACTCAGTGATTTTTTTTCCAGATAATTTTATATGCTACCAGAGGTACCATAAAACTACAAATTATCTCTTAGATTATTTCTATTTCTTTGGAGCACCTTCATTTTATTCCAAATGACACCATGAAATTGTTGCTGCAACACTAAAGGTGTAAATCTACCAGTATCATGATGCTCAGGGGAAGAGCCTATAGCTACATTACTCAAGTTTATCTATGTTTTCATTCACTTATGTATAAATAAAATGGTCAGCTGATAGTTAAACAATTGCAGGCATGGACATATTTGTCTAACTTGTTTACAAAAGTTTCCTGACATCTAGGTTTATGATTGATGTTTAACTCAGAATATTTTTCATGATTAATCTCAGGCATGTGTCATTATTTTCCGAGTGATAAGCTCTTGTTGAATTCAAAGGAAATTTTACATTTTGTTTTGTTTTTTTTTGCCTTTTGTGTTTAATAGAGATAATACCCCTCTCCTACAACAAAATAATGTTAAGTTTTTGTTGCTGTTGTTATCATGTATTTAAGGACCATATCCCTAAGATAGATGATCACATTCCATCAGTCTTCCCAGGAATTTTCTTAGTAATTTAGTTGGTGAAATAGCAGGAATAGTTTAATGAATAGTGATTCCTATTTCTGAATATCACTGATGATTATTTTCCTCATCAAAAAATAACCCACAGCAGTAATTTGGAATAGTAGGTATAATTTTATAATATCATTATTATAATTTTATATCTCAAATTTGACTCAAATTTTCAGTTGTAGAACTTTATATTTTGAATACCATAGAAGTAGGAAGTCCCCCTAGGATTCTGTTCAACCAAGCAGACATGAAAATGTAAAAGTGGAAGTGTACAAAAGTGGTGAACATAATTACCATTCATGGAACTAAGTCTCATTGCCCCTGCATAGAACCTTTTCCTTCACTGAAATATCATCTTAAATGCAGCACTGATACTTTTACACCAACATTTTATATCTAAGACATGGCTTTATTTAGGCATTTTAATCAGGTTGCTTTATGTATTTTCATATATAAACATTGATGTTTTTGCACAAGAAGCATTTCAATCACACATAATATTTTTTGGTAATTTACTCCATCTAGAATAAAAACTTCTTAAAATTTCTTTTTTCTTTTCCCATGTACTGAGTCAGCCATGTAAATATAGGCTCTATCTAATTGCGTGACAGGGATGTTAGAATATAAAAACTAGTTTTGGTCTCTTAAGGAAAGCTGAATTGCACATAATATAAGTACCAACAGCCAAGTAACCAACAAAGAGGCTCACTTATCTAATAAGATATATTACCATTGCCAAATTTTTCTTTTTCAAATTTTCTTCTTTGCCAAATTGTTCCACCCATAGTCAGCACTACAAACTTATCCATGAGTTAATTTAACAATACGTTTTATCTCATCCAGAACACATTTCTAATTCTAAGGAGTGAAGCCCCAAAACAAAAGTCAAGGGACAGCATTTTCTAGTTGCATTATCTATGGGGACCAGTGAAGACCATCTACCCTGTTTAAGATCTAGAGAATTTCTTACCAAAAATTAAGGCACAGTAAAAGTCTTTAATCATGGAGGGGGATTTTCTAGTTGCATTATCTATGGGGACCAGTGAAGACCATCTACCCTGTTTAAGATCTAGAGAATTTCTTACCAAAAATTAAGGCACAGTAAAAGTCTTTAATCATGGAGGGGGAGTTTTTGTCATTTGATCCAGTGATCTAGGATGTGGGTGCGACAGTTTGGATATTGCTTGATTGTGCCCACCCAAAGGTTCTGATTGAAGGTTTGGTTTCCAGAGTGATGCTCTTGGGAGATCCCCTGGAAAGTCTAAGAGGTGAGGCCTGGCCTACAGATACAGCTCAGCATTAGAGAGCTTCCGTGGCACATTGAAGTCCCTAGGTGTGATGCCTGGAATGAGAAGAGAAATGGAGAGAGAGAGAGAGAGAGAGAAGAGAGAGAGAGAGAGAGAGAGAGAGGTAGAAAGACAGACAGACAGAGAGAGAGAAAGGGAGAGAGAGAGAGCGCCAACCTAATAGGAAGTCCTTAGATCGTTTAAGGCATACCCTTGAAAAGTACCTGTCATCTGATCTTTGGATCTTGTGAGAGAGTGATTATAAAGCATCAAGCACGGTCTCTCTCTTCTTCCTGTCTTACAATGTGACTAGTCTCTACAATACTACTGTTGCCATTAACCAGTTGCCATGAGGTTATCACCAGAACAAAGCTCAGGTAGTTTGTCATGCCCTTGAGCTTCCAAATCTCTAAGCTTCATAAACCTTTTGCTCTTCATAAGTAGCTTGTGTCAGGTATTTTGGTGTACTAATAAAATACTGAGAAATGTGGTGGAATATCAAGGTTTTCTCTGGAGAAGACACAGCAACTTTTCCAATTTAATCTAAAAAATATATTTTTTTTCTTAAAACTGAAAAAATGGAGCCTTCTACATCTTGTCATCTTTTCCAAATATTACTGCACCCCACTAATAAGCCCTTCATTCGAATAAAGTATTATAGACTGGGCAGCTGAAGCAGCTTTATTGCTTGCAGTTCCAATTTGGGAGGCTGGAAGTGCAAGACCAAGGTGCAAGATGAGCCAGTTCCCAATGAGGAAATGTGCAGTGTACCACTTTCTTGCGTCTTCACAGAGTGCAGAATAAATTCTGGTCTCCTCCTCTTCTTAAAATGACTCTAACTGCATCATAAGAGCTCCACCCTCAGGGCTCATCTAAACCTAATTACCTCCCAAGGGCTGCACCTTCAAACCATCATATCGGTACTAGAGTTTTTACCCTGGATTCTGTGGGCAACACATTCAATACATAGCATTCATTTTCATCTCACAACAATCTAGTGAGGGAGTTACCGTTTCATTCTTTCATAGATTAGCTGAGAGAACTGAGGGACTTTGCAGAAGACATTCAACATGTGTGTTTAAATCAAAGTTACTCCATAGCCTTAATCTTTCCATTTATATCATGATTAAATCCAGAAAGGACTCTCTACTAAGGAGACAGTGTGTTTCAGACAAACATAGGCTGCCTTAGTATCTTTTCCTCTTAAAATTCTGTTGATACTGCTTTGAAAGAAAATTGGAGCAACATTTAGGTTTAGAAAAAAATTCATTCTCCAGCATTTTTTAAAAATTATTGATGTATACATCAATTCATAGAGAAGTCTGAGAGGAATGCTCTTCTATTTTAAGCTTGCCTCCTAGAAAAATGGACACCCTAAATTTCTTTTCTTGAGAGCAGTCTGGAACACTACTAGGAAAGGATTTCATGTTACTTTTTTTTTAAGTAGAGTGCCAACAACGTCTAAAAAAGGAAAACACACAATAGATGAAAAATAACCTGGTTATCTCATTTTTCCCCTTCCTTTCTGAGAGTAATGATATAGACATCATTGAAGTTGATATGTTGTACATTTAAAAAATAAGGTCATTGCAAAAATAGTTTAGACATTTCTATGTAGGGATAAAATTTACACGATTTAAAATTTTCTGAAATATTTGGAAGGAGTTGAAATTAAATGTGATGTGCAAATTTAATTACTCTAAATTTTCAAATGAAACATAGTTTATTTTGTTATTAATCCTATATACCTAGATGTTTAAATAAAATATAGTCCTACCATGAATTTTTTCTTCCAAAACCATGTCTTCAGGAATGCAAGAAAATTTGAACAGTAATTAGATTCTGCTTTTAGGAGGAAAAAATAACACCCTATATGATGTATTCTAAAATGTATGGGTCAGAGGTTATCAATATTTATAACAATATTTTCAATTCTTCATCTCCAAAATTCTAAAATTTTAATTGGAAAGATAATAAGTAGCAAATTATTCTGGAGAGTATGATTTGAAATAATATTGAATGTAATGGTGTAATTTCTTTTGTGACTCTTAATATCCCAATAAAGACAATGATTTCACTTCATGGAAATTTTACACTTTGACTAATACTCTGAGGGAAAATTGATATATTTAAGTATGGTGATTAGAGAAATATGCATCCTTCCTCTGCATAATAAATTTTAAAACAAAAAAATAAATTGTATGGTACCTGATTGCTTTCAGTTTGACATTGTTCTTTTTCTGAACCTATGTCATTGATGGTTGGGCTTATCACATGGGTTTGCCTTTTACATAAAGCAATGTGACTCATTTCTGTTCTCTTGAGCATTGTAACAACTGGAAAAACACAAATTGCTGCTTATTTCATTACTCATTTGATCCGACTTCCTTTCTGGATTGCCCTTTCTTAATTTCTGATATACAAAATAAAGTGTAATATCCCAGAAATCATTAGGGAAATATGCTTCTATATGTGATGACAGCAAATATGTGGAATCAATTTTCATCCCAAATATTTTACAACTAACCACAAGCCACATTGTAGCTCATATGTTTTGACTTTCTAGTTTAAAATTCAGTCTATTTATACTATGTATTAATATATAAAATATAAAATTCTCAATTTTTTCTCTGTCTCCCTCCTCTCTCTCTTTCCCCCATGCTCATGCATGCATGTACACACACACACACACATGCGCACACACCTTGGAGTTTTCTAAAATGAGTAGAAGATGTATTATGCAGAAAATATACTTAAGCATTCACACAGTGCAGAGACATACATTCGTTTGGTATCCATTACAATGAATGGGGAAGAATATACACTTTAAATGGTCCTACAGTGCCCTGAAAGTGTATCCCAAAATAGTATATTTAACCTCGTGTCTAACTTCATAGTAAATGGTTTTCCTCTGCTGCATGCCCTTATAAAATGAAATTTCAAAGAGCCAAATAAAACAATACATTTTATTTTATAATATATGTGCAATATAACCTTGTGTTTAAAGAGTCAGTTCATTTTCCTAACCACAGAATGTTTCTCTTTGGCCATGAACTCCATTTCTTAAAAGAATCATTATATTAATTTTTAACTAAACTACTATGGGCATTAAATGCAAAGGTTTCTTTTGAAGACTTTCTGAGAACTCATAAAGTATTCTACAGCAACCGTAGATTGCATTTCACCTGAGAAAAAATGGTCATCATGAAAAACTCAAATAATAACAAATGATAGTGAAGTTGTAGGTGGAAAAGGAACCCTTATACATTGTTGGTTTGAATGTAAACTACTACCACCACTATGAAAACTGGTATGAAGATTCTTCAAATATTGAAACTAGAAATGTCATTTGACACAGCAATTCCTCCTCTAGGTATCCACCCAAAAGTGTTCACAATCTTTTATAAAGTCTTTGGTTATGATTATTATCACTCAGTATTTTCTTGAGGATGAGTTATGCAGCTATTTGTCTCATAAATTTCAATTGTTAACTATTTTTCAAACATTTGAAGTGTAACACTGATATTTATAGTACTTATTTACACATTCTTTCCAGTGTTCTCACTTTAATCTCATTTCAAATGATTCTTATAGGTCTCATTCCTTTTGTATTTCTTATTTCTCTCATATAGAATATGTTTTATCATTTATAGAGCTATAATGCATAAATCAGACATCAAAAATTAAGTGTAAAAAAGTGAGTATCCCAGTTTAAGGGACATTTAAAAATATCACACTTTCTGGAAAATATCTATGAAAAGAAGAAAACTATATAAAGTTAACTTGAATTACCATTCTATTGATATCCAATGCTTGCTTTAGATTTATACATTGACTTATACTGACAGTTTCACAGGAAGTCAGAGCATTGCTTCATTTACAAGCATTGCTTAGAATGTATTGGTAGTCATATGACCAAAATTTTTAAAAATCAAATGGAAATGATGCCAAGAGGTGATTGTGACTATTGTGCTTCACTGCTAGGGTTTGAGTTTGTTTTATTTAATTTGGACTTTGTAGGTTCTTAAATATGAAAAGTGATATATTTACATAAAGTTTAACATTTAACTAGCAGTTGTGTTAAAAGTAGGCTAATTTATTATACCATCATTAGACCCAGAGTTACATAACTTTTATTAAAGAAAGACTATGAGGAAGTAGAAATACACAGAAACGCTGGCCAGAATTTATCTGGTTGGTGAACTGTGAAATATGACCACATCTCAGAAATGTGAGCTGGTACCATGTTTCAACTAAATGGTTGATTTTAAAGAGTCAGTTCTGGATACTTCGGGTCAGATGCTGCTGAGAGTTTATCCTCACACAAACAGAGCAGATGGCTTCAGTGTTCCTTGACAGCTTTAGATTCAAAACAACATCACTTAAACACGTTCGATAAAGCTGTAGCACCGTCACACCAGCCAAAAACACTCTTTTCTTTTTTAACCTGTTTTTCATGAGACTATTTGTTGGTTAAAAGAGAACATATTGCTAATTTGCAGTCTTCCATGTTACTATAAACTACAAATTAAAGAGTTTCAACCTATATATTAAAAGCTTGTCTAGTATGGGGAAATTGTAATAAAGACTGAAACTCATAATCACATAAGGATAGATGTTGGCCAGTAACATCATCTCATTACATGTTGTTTAAATGAAAGCGATAGTTTAATATCTGTCTGAATCACAATGTGCAGTTGGAGAGCTTATCAAAAATATCCAGAAGAAAAAGGAAATTGGTACGGAATATTTTAGGTCAATTGAAACAAACACGCATTGGAGTATTGAATGAGAATTACAAGCAGACCTGATCTCAGACACAAGACCGACTGTAGATGTTTCTAGAGGTGCTGTTCATAAGGAATTCCAGAAACTGATGGACCAAGTAATTTCAGTTCATTCCTACAACGGATAAGTTCATATGTAACTTTCAATAATCATGCTATTGCGTCAAACATAAAATTAGAGCTGTTCTAAATACACAATTAGATTTTATATCTTAGAGCCTTATATTCATCTTTCAAAGGTGCTTATAAAAATTCTAGAATTTTTGAACTTCTCTACTTAAGGAGGTGGTCAAAAGCCGTGACAAAATATTTAATGAACATAAGGCTCTTGGAAATAGGATTGGAAGAAAAATGGTTATTGTTTCATTGCACTTAAAAGCAAGAAAACAAGTTGAAGAATTACGATCTAGTCACTGTCCCCTTATACCAATTGCTTATGTCATTTGTGCTACTTTAGAAATGTGTTGGGGAAATGAGACTGAATATGTTGTATTCTGTGAAAAGAGAACTTGAAGGCAGATTGATACTGAGTTCAAATCCTAGATGTAATCATTACATCATGTGTGCCCTTGGGGTAATTTCTGTCTCAGTTTAACCAACTATAGGATGGCATAATAACAAGACACAGCTTATGCATATTTCATGGGCAAGAAATAAATTAACACTTATAGAGCACTGAATAATAGTGTCTGGCACAGAATAAAAGATATTTAGTTGCTTCATCAATCAGTCAATCATTTACCCTTTCCATTTGGTGTGAATTACTTGTAGTACTTTCCTTTATCCAAGTCCAGCAATGTTACCATAGAAGAAAAAACTCTTCCTTTTTAAAGGAAATCTGTAGCAAAATTCTATAATCTTAAGAATTTGAATGCTTCATGAAGTTTTTAGGATTTCATGATCTAAATATTTTTTACCAATAGAATTTTCCTAAACTCCTGCAATTTCTCAATTCTCTTTTTTAAACAAAATCTTACGATCAATGTCAACAGTCTGGCCTCTATCTATACTATACTAAGCATCCATTATCTTATTGAGGGCAAGGTCATATAAAGCATGATGAGTCTATACATGTTAACACAAACATGGCCATCTTTTAGAGAATTATGTATTTTACTATGTTTCATTTCACAAAAATGAAAACTGATTCTTGTGCTGAGCTATTCAAAATAAAATTATTGAAAATGCCTGCTGAAATGTCAAAACTTTCAAGATTATAAAATGATGAATAAAAACAACTTCCTCTTACCAGATTTGGTGAATATTGACAATGTTCTTACCTAAGAGATAGAAGAGAAATATCACAGGGTTAGCAATTGAGAAGTATATTGTGTAAGAGACAGAACTAAATACAAATAGTCAGTCATTGCTTTGCTATATTATGTTGCGTTTTAAAGTGTTGGGTGTCCCAATTCTTTCGCTCCAATAAATTCCTTAATAAAACAGCATTATTGTAAGTTACTTGCCATTAAGCTTTTTCTCAATACGTTTCCGAAAATCTTAAGCTTAGATTAGTAATGATTAATTCTAAATTTTCCACCAAATATTCTGATGTGAAACCTTTATACTCCATGCTTTAAAGAAAGTAAAACAATAATTGAATACAGGATTTAAAAATATAAATTTATGATAGTTCAAAAGAATTATCTATACTATAAAGAAATATCTATTTTTAATTAAGCACAAATTCAGATGTCTGAATCAAACCATTTTATTAAGTTTATTATCACCTTTGTTCATGCATTTATGTAACATATTTATGTTATTTACCTACCATCTACCAGTATGCAGTGCACTTAGGGTGTAAAGGAAAAATGATTATCCACATACATTTAAAGTTTTATATATATATATATATATATATATACACATATGTATGCTACATACATGGTATAAAAGTAATAATTAAGTTTAAGAAGCTTTGGGACTGGGGTTTTAGCTCAATGGCACAGCGCCTGCCTGGCAAGCGTGAGGTTGTGAGTTTGATTCCTGGTACCGGAAAAAAAACAAAAAGCGAAGACAGAAGTCTGAAGATTAAGAACCTTGTTTAGTGGCCTTACATGAATAATTACTAATTTTAATAATGCCTAAAAAGTATTGAGTGATTTTCAATTTAGATAGCCATTAAACTAAATGTTTTGCACAAAGTGATCTTCTAGCAGACTATGTTGTTCTATACAAACATAGAAGAGAAAAAAATTATTTTTCCATGGTTATTAAGAAAGATTTGTCAATAATTTGTACAATCTCTTTACATTTAATATGAAGATCTGAAGTAGAAAAATAGGACCATTACAAATTATCTTAACAAATTTTCTCTGGAGGGGAATGAAACCACTTACACGCTAAGTGCACACATTCCACCCTTGAGCTCTGTATCAACCCTGGTCCTTGTTTTCTTTTCCTGTTAAATGGGATTTAGTTT